CGAAAGCGCTCTGCTAACCTATTAAAGAATTTCTGCTCGAAATACGTTTTTGTTTGATTTCCTGACTCTTGGACGAGCAACACAGCCATTCACTTCTAAGTCTACTAAAAGCAGCAGTAAACAAGAAGTAGGTGATAATCATTCTAGTTTCCATGTCGTCAGTCAATGGGAAGAAGAGTTACATAAACAGGAGACGTATAAGGCTAGATCTATGGATGGCCAGGAAAGCAGCTCATAGGGGATTCACTTGACAGACATGTAGATATCAAGAATGTAGATATAGTATAGACATATAATCAAGATGTCGAACAGCTTCTGAAAGGCATGTACCTACTGCTTGATAGTGGGGCGTTGGAAAATTTCACGTGAGATGATTATGGATTTGAGTCGAAGTATAGAAACGTATATTAAAGAGGTGATGCTTGAAGACTTACCAACGAGAATAAATGCGGTTCAGATCGTCCTTGGGGGGCACTAGGGTGTGATTCAAATAAACTTTCAGATATTTTTTTGTAGGACTTTAACTAGAGCAAAATTCAAAGATATAAAATCACTATAACCATGACTGTCAGGTCCTGATAAATACTTACACCCATAATATACCTACATAACACGAAAAACCTCATCAAATCATCAATATTCAAGACACATGTGCACAAGTTGTTAAAAGGCTATCTAGCCTGCCCAACATCATGAAATGAGTCCGTTTGTTTTTTTTTTTTTTAATGGGGTCCGTTCGCATTTTATTATGGAATCCGGCTGTAATTGCTGTCCTAATTAAAATATTTAGCACGTACGCGCATAACGTACACAAAGGTGTTATGCTAAATTATTTGTTCAATAAAATAACCATTATTTAGGTATAAAGTTTTGTAACTATTAAATTTATATCTATTAGTATACTTAATTATCGTTGTTAGCATCGTGATTGGTAAATTGTATAATTAATACTGATTTGAGTATATTATATTATTAGTTAGAAAAAATATTATGTATAGCTTAAGCACAATATGTTATTTAAAATCTATTTTCATTAATGGTTTACTTATCTGATTTGGATAACTTTTGAATAATGTAATACTTTATTGATATTACCTATAGATATTAATAGTAAATACTTTGTCAGTAGATATAGTGATAGGAAAATTTAATACTAATTTGGGTATAGGTATAGGTGCTTTCTCAAAATTGAGTTGTTTACATAAATTATTTAAGATGTTTTATTATTGTGAGCACATCATACAACTTTAATTTGTAATTCAATAAGTACCTACCTACTAAATTAATTAAGGTAGATTGGTATAGCCTAAAGCTGGATTCAGAGCTTTCGTAACGTAAGACTTAAGAAAAATAAACACCATGTAAATGAATGGGACAATTCATGGTGCCACCGTAAGACTTAAGACGTAAGCCGTAAGACGTAAGAAATGGTCTATTTCATCATATTAGTTAGGTTAGGAAAAATCGGGCGCGAAATTTAAAATGGGTTCCTAAAGACATTTCAACAAATTTGACAGCAATGTATTTCTTATGGGGGATTCAAAAGAGTGCGATTTTCAGACGGGAATATCTTGGGTTCTGGGCATTTCTTAGTATTTGAACCTATTATACGTCAAACTTTGAACATATTTCTCAATAATTCATGCTCTAATTGTTTTTTTAGACCTATGAATTAAAAATACAAATGATTTTAATTAAAAGTGTCTGTTTTCGGTGGACGTACGTCGGGTCTAAAACCAGCTGTAAGAAAGTGAGGTTGTGTGTTGTGTTATGATTGTTGGTGAATTGTTTATTTATTTATTTATCACTAGTTCAGTTATTTGTTTTTCCATTTTTTTTAGATTATTGAAGTACATCTACTAACCAAAAGTATGTAGGGACACTTTTATTTTATTATAATTATAGGTACCCATATATATACTTATGGATCAAGCAACGACATACGTATTTTATACAAACATCGGCTTCTTGAATTGGTAATATTTTTATTTAAACAATGTTTATTCAACTTTCAAACACTCTCCCAGTTAATTAACATATTAAAAAAACTATTTATATCACTTCCCTAACAAACGTTCTATCACGTCTACAGACGCTTTTAAAATTGAGTCCCCATAAGACATCAATGTATTAATTTTTGAACTAGGAACCCGCGCCAATTTGCGATTCTAACCTAACTAATATGGTGAATTGTATTTCTTACGTTACGGCTTAAGTTTTCGTTAAGGATCGCGAGGTTTCGTAAAACGGCCGATCGTGAAACTGACATATGGCCACATGTTTTTGATTGTTTTTGTTTTTGCTTTGTTTCTGGTGGTTAAATTTCTTTTCAGTTCATAATTAAATAAAAATATAATTTTATAATACATGTTTACTAGAAAAAAAACAGTATCAATTTGGTAGATTGACCTCAAAATCGGCGGATGCGGCAGCACTGAATTACTAGATAAATATGGAAACCTAACCTAAGAATATAATATAATTTCTTACTTCTTAAGTTTTAAGTTAGCTCTGAATTGACTGCCATTTTTTGCTTAAGTTTTACGGCTAAAGTCTTACGGCTTTAGTCTTAAGTCTTACGTTACGGAACCTCTGAGCGGACCTTAAGGGTATAGCTATATACCTAATATAGATAATATCACGTGAACATGATTTTTTTTAATAGGTATTAAGTTTTAAAGTATACCTACTTAAAGTGTACCTATATAGATAATTATACCATTATAGCCATACATTTAGTAACTATATTATATTCACACGTGTGCAAATTATGAAATGAATAATACCTAAGTACCTAAATTGGGTATTTTCCTAGATTCCCCAAACTTGATAAGGTCAATCCGTCGGCAATTTTTGCTAAATAGATATCTATTAGATAGAGCCGATAAAATAATATCACAATTTTGGAAAACGTGTCACGTTTCTCCAGTCGGAAATTAAAAATTTCCAATTTGAGACCGGGATGCGAATATTTTTTAAAAGTAAAACAAGAGATTGGATATTATATAGGTACCGCGCGGGATTAGCGGAGCTTTTCTTTTAAACCGCATGATGGAACAAACCTAATTTCTAGAATTAACCCAGACAATTTCTGAAATAAGGCGCGAGTCGATAATAGTTGATAGTTGAATAGGTATGTACCCATTGGAAAAATTAACTATTTACCAGGGTTTGTGCGGGCGCTGTTCTTTCAACAGGCATAGAACATATTATACAGGGTGCATGAAGTTGTAAATTGTACTATACATTCAGGGGAAAATTGAATGATCCTTTATACTGAGTATGAGCTCTCCAAATTCTGATTAGGAAAACCCTAACAAGGTTTTCAAAACACTTAAATCACCATAATTGAAGACAGAATATACTGGTCAAAAGGTCCGATTGTCCGATGAACTGTTGAGTGGAAGTATCGAACTTTGTCGGGCAATGGATCCAGTGGTTATTCTAGGGCTATCTTCCACTATTATAAAATCTGTTTTCCATCGGCAGGTCTCATTTGGCTTGCAGGTCCCCGATTAACATTCTGAACACTCACACTTCCCATATCACGCAATCTCTGCAAAACGGGCATAATGTTCTTTCAGTAGGTGCCGTCCTATTAGGAAATATTTCGCTGTAAATTATAGCGGATAAATGATCATTTTGTAACGATACACCCTGCGAAGAGCAGTGGAAATTCATAGTCTGAGCTAATTTGTATACCTATATTGCAATAAAAACGCAATTTTTTCGAATTCATAAAAATCCATTGAAAAATCCAACGTTGATGATAATAGCCAAAGACTCGTTTTTCAAAAACATATTTAAATTATTGTAAGTCATTCTGATGAATTAAAGTCTTGTACTACTAAGCGGAAACTTAGTTCGCAACCTATTTGCGTCCTTTACTATGCTATAAACAAAATAGAGGATAGGTATAATCGGTGAACTCTTGTTACCTAGTAGGTACAAAGAATTAGAATGTTGGCGTTTGCATCAGGTAGCTTAACAAATGTCATTTCATCCAGGTGTGGAAATTGTTGTATTTTCACTATATGCAATATCCCGTATTTTTACTTCAAAAAATACCAAAAAACTTTTCCTTGAATTTTTTCAAGGTCAAGGAACGTCAAAATAAAATGTGACAATAATTCTTCGTGACGTCACCGTTTCGTATGCTCAGTTTTTGGCGGCCAATTTGAATTTTAAGCTGACGAATCTAGTGACTTTAGAACTTGGTTGTTTACGGTGTCATTTAGCAAGAAAAAAACGAACTCATTACCCCATACATAAAAATCTTTCTAGGTACCTACATACTTAATGTCCAAATACCTACTGGTCAAGACGTGATGTTGTCGACAGACAATCAAGTTTAAATTATAGACCGCTTGAAGATAAACATATTTTTTTATTTTTTTTATCATTGTCAAAGACATTGGCAAAAGCATCTATCTAAATTAAATTGACACCAGTGAAACAAAACAACAATTTGATTTAGGTCTTAAACCCCTAAGAAAAACTGTATACCCGCAGTTTAATTGGAGTTTTTCTAAATACCAGCACCAAAACTAATCGACGTCCGACGGAAACTATAAAACACCAAGCAGCGTCTTCGGCAAAACACCAAAATTTCCGATCCATCACCTCGATCCCGCGTCCACACCACACACCTACATTTTCAACCCCCTTCGAAACGAGGGGGGCAACATAGCGGCAGAAAAAACAACCCCCGCCGTCACCGTCGTCGTCGGCGTCTAAACCCTTCTTCTTCTATTTTCTTTGCAGCGGAACAGACACCATCGAAAAGACTAAAAATGTCGCCGCGAACATCAGACAGAGACAAACAGACGAAGGCGTCGCAAGCCACACCCCCCGAGGCCTAACTCCGACGCACCAACCCACCGAAAGTGTGAAAAGAGCGGGGGGAATTGTCGCCCTGCTATTGGCCGCGGCGCGTCGGTGTCAACTCGCCAGCCAATCGGAAAGCGTCGGGATCATTAACGCCGCTAAGTGTTGGCTTTGCGGGTTCTAGTCTATAGTTGTCCGTTGTTCGTTATACGGTTTAGGTGCGAAGTTACGCGCGGAAATTCTGGCCGTTAGGACCCAGTGCTTTTGTATTCTAGAACAGTGATTCGCCGATGCGGGACGACGCGGAAATCTGCAGCTAGAGATTTTTCACATTTTCTTGTGATTTTTTCATCCGGAGTGTTCGTACACTTATCTACCGGAAAGTGTCGGTTTTTTTTTTTTGTTTAGTGCGAAAAAGGACTGTTTTGTAAACGTAGTGTGACAGTGACTATTAATGTTCTAAACCTGTGATAAGAAAACTCAGTTATTTTGTTTTAAGTGTAAGTTTCATTTATTTTTTTGTTGCCTGAAAGTTAGGGCATGAGCCGGCTCTAAAGGACCATAATATTCACTACTAAGGTTTTTCCTACTTATCTGAGTTTTGATTTCTATATCTATATTTCTACACATAATAGTGCAAAGAAAATGCTCGAAAAAACCAACACGTGCTCGAAGGACCATGTAAAATTAAAAAAACTCAGAACTTCCACCGCACGAATATTCCGAAATAGCCTGTAGGAACTTGAAGAAAAATAACCGCAAAAAGTACAATCAGTTTTGGTAGCAAGATCTTAACCGGTTCGACGGCCAAAATATAGGCATTTTTTTTTTTTTACTTTAGAAACCGTTTATTTTCCAAAGAATCCTTACACAATTCTCTTTGACAAACATTCAACTTAACTAAAAGATAAACTTTAAACTTAATATAAACATACCTAGGTAATGAGAGAATTTTGATTTTATGCTAGAAGCAGAACGTTTTTGATGTATAGGTACCTACTACTATGCTCAATGAGTACCTATAAAAATATAGGTATGCAATTTTTGTCAGTTTCAACTAGTGTATACCTAGAAAACAATTTAAGCAAGTTGGTTTTCTGCTATTCGGTCAAAGATCATAATAAGTATATTCTCACTTTAGAGAACAGAAATACATATCAAATGACAAATAAGCAGCAAGTGAAGTAATCTATATCTATCTTGTGAAACGAGCAGCTATTAACATTGTCATTATAAATTTGAAAACTCTCATCAGTAATCGGTTCATAAAAAAAATAAAGTCGATTAATAACATGGTATAGGTATACTTACCTACTAAAGAAAAAATAAAAGTGATAGGAACCTACAAAATCCAAAAATCGAAAAATCACATAGGTAATTTAAAAGTAACTTACGATAATTTAAAATTGGTTAGGTGATTCAGTCCAGAGTAGATACCTACATAGGAAAAAAAATTGCATTGTGTCACTGACGCCCAAATGCACCGCAATCCAGATTAGTTGCTACTAAAACACTTAAAATGTCTGTAGGTATGTAGGTATGTAGATAATAACAAGATATTTTCAAAACTTATGTTCACCTATTTTATCAAGAGAATAAAATATTTAGGTTAGGTGTATCATTATACTAAGACCATGTATGAACGATAATTTTGCCGTCGGAAAGCCACGCAGAACGTATAATCGCTCTATTTTTTTACGGGGCTTTATTCTATTACAAATCCCTAATTTTTTCTGCACAAATATAGCATGCAATTTTATTATTAAACAATCTTTTGCTCCTTGATGTTATTTTGAATAGTGATTTTTAGACAATAGGATTAACTGAGTGGTCCTTCGAGCTCCTGTATATTCTAACATAAATAAAAATTTTGCGTGTATAGTGTCATTGAATTAGGGAGGTTAGAGTAATTAGTAGGTACAACTTCATTATTATATAAGGAATAGAGAATTAAATTCTAAAGTTGAGCTTATTAGGCTACCTAATTTGTAACTAGTAAGTAGATATATTGCATGTAGTGTGGTGAATAAAAGGTACTTTTCAATACTTCTTAAGATCCGAAAACGACAACAACTCTAACTGACACAACCTACATACTATATCACTAATTTTGATATGGGTATTCAATTTCTTTCAAGTTTTTATTAGGTATATATTGATTGATATCGTGATTTACGTAGCCCGTCCATTAGAAGTTGTCCAGTTTGCCCGTGGATAAGTAGAAATAGCATTTAATCCACCTGCAAGCTAATACACGGGTTGCGTAAATCACCCTGTATATGAAATAATTATTCTTATAAAATTTAGCAAACATGTATTTAAGAAGATTATGATTTGACACTTCTAATTCCATGTTATTAGCTTAAAACAATACCTATTTGTAAAAATAGGCCTACGAAACTTAAACTTGAGTAGCAGAACAAGAACTTAGAGGTATACTTTTCTAAAAATATTAATTGATAATATAGAACATAGCTATTAGCTGGAACGGTGATTCAGTTCAACCAGAATGCAATGTTGACATATTTATTAAGATAGATATTTAATTTTGAAAATAGTAGAACACATGTCCATTTACAAAATTGAAATTGGTACATCCATCAGGTATCTATCTATCATTCTTCAACGGGGCTCAACATGAACTAAGAGCAAATAAATGAGTCTTGATTATCATACATAGAAAATGGAGAAAATATATTAACAGCATGATGGGAATCAGTGAATTAAACGAAGCAATAATAAAACTAAATGTATGGGTATGTTTGGAAGAAAAATATCAGACTTTGGGAATATACCTTCATAGAGTGAACGACGATGAACCTGTAGGTATATACATATAAAAAATGCATTCTTTAACAACTCAATGATCATAAAAGTATAGGAGATTCAAGGGAAATTATATTCCTTGGAGACTTTGATGATATGGACGAAAAGAAAGAAAAAGTAACGAGTATGTATAGCATTTTTAATAGATACCCATTAAAATTACCAAAAAAAACGAATGTCCATTCTTAATACGTCAATTTCATGTAAAAATAGGAAATTCCTAACCTAATATTATATTCGTGTTCAAGAAGCGACATACGTTAAGTCACTAGAACGATTATTGGTACTTCCAAATAGGTAGTAAAAAAGTTCTAAAGTAGGAAAGTTTGGCAAGAATGCACCTAACGAATAAAATAAAGAAATACATAAATAAAGGTATGTACGTGAAAAAATGGAACTAGATAACAAAAATCAATTATTGACTACTTACATCGTTGGAAAACACTGAAGCAGACATTATCCATCATAAAATTAGAGAATGGTGAGAGCATATTATAGGAGAGTGGCCTGTGGTAGCAATCAATATACCCATACCCACTAAAAACGGAAATCTTTATCCCGACCAGACTGAGCTAAAGAAATATAACCAAAAATCACTAAAAGAACAAACAGTGAAAGGGTCATACATTAAAAGACTGGGCCAAAAATTCCAGACTAGTTTGAACTTCCAAAATCTTGAAATTACAAATACGAAGAAAATGAAAGAACACAAAAACTGTATTGAAGAAGTCAAGAAATACATAGCTGGCAAAAGGAAGAAATGCCAACAGTATATCTACCTAAGTTCAAAAAAAAAAACAGGAACACGACAGAAGGTGAAAAAATAGGTATACATAAAGAAGCACATGCAAGAGTATATACCTACGGAATAAAATTATTGTAGGTACGCTTCTTGATACTTAACAGAAAGAAACACAGAAACTTGGAGAATATTGAAAAACATCAGGACAGCGAAATGCCAAAGCCAAAGATATTATCACCGCAATGGGCAGAGTTTTTTGAATAGACACAGAACGTAAAAACCGCAGGATCGCACCAATAAGAGTTATGTCAGCATTGTCAGCCTTGTTTTGGTTCGTAAATACAGGATGATTCTAGAAAGCAGAACTAATTGCACAATCGCATCAATCTCAGAACTGTTCGGAATCACTTCGTGAAAGTAATGAACCAAAACGAATTTTTGCACCACGTCAGATTTTCCTATTTACTAATTTATGTTTCTCCTCTTCTGTGGACCATGTTATTACTTGACTTGATTTTTGGATAATATATTCTGATTGTTCAAATTCGATTGCAAGGTCTTCAATAATTTTTGGTGACACCTGAAAAGAGAGATCCTGAAAATGATCAAAAAACTCTTATGGGGTATCCATTTATCGAACCAGTGCAAAAAAAAAAAATATCCCTATCCTTACATGTTACATGCTTTTAGAAAAAGATGCGGATACACTCAGTGCGCACTGATTGACAAATGGAAATCCCAATTAGGCCGGGTTTTATAAAACTACTTTGAGAGTTAACTTAAAGTTAACTTCTGAAATTACATCTAATTCAAAAAGTTAACTTCAAGTTAACTGTCAAAGCAGTTTTATAATACCCGCCCTTAGTGTACATGGACATTGTATCTTCAGCATAATTTTCGTTTTTTGGTGGTGCTCAACAACTTCCGGTATAAGACTTGCTAGGAAGTCCTCATCACTTTCTGATTTTTCGTCATCACTGCTTGAACCAAATGAAAAGATCATATGAAATAACAAAGAATTTGATTACTAAACTGAAAACTGGTTATTAAAAAAATAATAATAAGCTTTGTTTTGGTTCTAAATTTGGAACGGTTCTGGGATTGCGCAGAACTGCTTGCGCACAAAAAATAATAGAGGACTCTTCTAATACTAGTTCTGAACCGATTCGGAACCAAAAAAACCAAAACACGTTGCAAATCACAAAATTCTAAAGTAGTTCCTCCTTCAGAGCAAAAACTGAGAGAACCGTTCTAGAACAATTGTTCTTTAATAGTTCTAGATAAACCAAAACACTGTGAAAAGAGTTCGATTACGATTCTGAAAAAACGAAAACGCGTTTTATAATATGCGTATGTGCAGAATGATTCCAGAACAGTTCCGACTGTGTAGTGCAGAAACCGAATCAAAAATTCGAAACTGATTCTGGAAAACCCAAAACGCGAAAAACTTTCTGCGCCTGTGCGAAATGTCCCAAAACGATTCTCTACACGAACCAAAACAAACCTATAAAGGAAGAAGTAGAAAACAGTTGCTTCTTGAAAAATAGAAAAGTGCCAGGCACAGGAGAAATTTGGGTAGGTTTATGTTCATCAGCAACAACTGGACCTAAAATTCTCGATCTTTGATCAATTGTGAACCGTTTGCGATAATTTTCGAGTGATGATGCCTCGAGAGACGAGACCAGGGCCGGTATTCTCGTTCTCGAAAACGCTCACCGCTTTTCAGTCGCTCGGCACTTTCAATGTAAATTTACATTCAAAGTGCCGAGCGACTAGAACGCGGTGAGCGTTTTTGAGAACCAGAATACCAGCCCAGAATACGCTCTCTCTCGTCTTATCTCGAAGGTTCGAGAGAAAATGTGTCTCTCATCGTTTCGACGAGAGAGCTCTTTTCTCGTCTTAGCGGCATCTTTATTTTCGAGAACTGTTTAC